CAGCGGGTCCAGCAGCGCCAGGAGGCGCGAGGGTGAGGGTGCCGCCTGCACCAGCGTCACGGGGTAGGCGGCCAGCACCGCATCTGGCGCCCGCACACCTGCTGCTGCCGCGCGCAGCGCCACCGCCAGACACAAGTTGCCGCCCGCGCTGCCCCCCGCCAGGCACACACGCTGCCCTGTCCAGCCTGCACCGCCAGGGCAGGGTTCAGCGGGTGGGGCAAAGGTTGGGGGGGTGACCCCGGTACCCTCACGTTCCCCGCCTGACCTGTCTTAACTCCACCCCCCTCCCACCAGGGGCATTGCTTGACCCCATCCCCCTGTTCTCCTTCCCTCCCCAGCAGAGGGTGCTGCCTCCCCATGGGCTGATTTGCCCCACTTCAAAGGGCACTACTCGACCCCACCCCACAGCTCTTGCCCCCCAGAGCCTGTTCTGCCCCCCTACCAGGGGTTGCTGTCCCCCCGGGGTGTCCTGTCCCCCCAGAGACTTGCCCCTGAACCCCACCAGGACCCCTCCTAAGCCCATCAGGGGGCACCGCTTGATCCCACCACACTGCTCTCCTGCCCCCGCAAGTGCCCTGGGGGTTGCCCTGCCCCCCTCTGCAGGGGGCGCTCCCACACACTGACCGAGCAGGGCGGCATGGCGCAGCGCCCAGCAGTAGGCATAGAAGCACTCTTCCAGCGCGCGGGGGAACGGTGCCTCAGGTGCTAGCGCGTAGTCCACAGACAGCACGGGAGCACCAAGTGCATGGGCCCAGCTGCGCAGGTAGGGCTCGTGCGAGCGTGATGTCTGTGCCACGAACCCGCCGCCGTGGAAGTGCAGCAGCAGTGCGGGCGAGCGTGGGGCCGGGCGCCCACGGCGCCACCGCTCCAGCCCCAGCCCCAGCCCCAGGCCCAGCCCTGCTGCCCCCTCTGGCCCCACCAGTGCCAGCAATGCCTTACTGTCCTGCAAAGGGCGGGGTGTGAGTTGGGGTCCCCGCACCCGAAGGAACCCAGGTATCCTGCCCCTGCCCTAGCCCCAGCCCACTCCAGGGAACCCAGGTGTCCTGTGCCAGCCCCTTCCAACCCCCCTCACCCCCAAGGAAGCCAGGTGCCCCCCTGGCCCCA